ATTTGTGTTTGCACCGTACTGCATTTCACGAAAATCTTGGTTTAGCAGCTGTCATATTTAATCGGTGAAAAATCACGGTTTAAAATACAAATCTCCGTTTAACTTTTGACGTTTCACGAATCGTCTGTCACATCACAAGTACAAAAATTCAATTTGATAACATTTTGCAAGACTATTTTCCTAATATACATATGTTAATCTGGCTGCAGGCAATGCAACAAGAAGACAATTTGTTTTGTTGTTTTTAAGATTATAGTTAACATTAATGTGGAAATACAAAATTAAATTGTTTGTAACCGCTTCTATTTTATTTCTATTTCTAGCTACAAAATTTATTTGCGATYTATCACTTCTTTTTTCTTTTCTTCTTTCTTTTTAAACCCGACAATTCGTTGTARTTTTTTGGTAAATTCCCATCAAGAAATGAGGTTAAATTGGGCTTAGGCCTTCTTTTTGAGCTCCAATCATAGAGTGTCCGAGACTGAGAATTTGGAATTTCAGTTCCTGTAGAATTTGGTGCTGTGCCGGATTAATAGCATTGAACTAACTCTTTTTTTTTAATGCGCCTTCATACATCTGCCTTCTGAAAGATAATCCGTTTTTTTTGCATTCTTAAATGCTTTTGTATGATGTTGCGATGAGTACGATATTTTTCTTCCGCGACAAAATTCGAAGATCACACTCACTTCTTTAGGGGTTCTTGCTCCATTATAGTTTAACTTCATGTAATTCGTGTAAATCCTTTTCACTTCGCATTTTCAGTTATAATTACATTATTTTAATTGCCACCACAATTGTCAAATAGAATAAATTTACAGTGTTGTCAAATGACATCGACGATTAACTAAACGACCGTTACTAAAGTTCGGTGCAAAGGAAATATGATATTTAATCTGAGATTGGTTAAACGACGATTAGTTAAACGGAGATTTTAAACCGAGAGAGACGGTGCAAACCACCCTTAGTGGTTAAAATATTTGCTCGCAATCCGCAAACACCCTGTATAATAATTTTTCAAGCAATTATTATCATCATGATGGTTATTATCTGTGACACTTTCATCTGTTTATTCCCATTGCTAGGAAATATCAAGTACTCACATGCCAGTTTGACGTCGCCTTCGGCGTAGGCCGACGCCGCCCTCGGCCGATGTGTAACCAACGCCAATTCGCCAAAATATCCCCCTTTTCCTAAACGATTAATTTCGACCTCTTTTCCGCTATCGTCCAAGACGCTGATGATGACGGTGCCGTCTTCAACAAAATACATTCCATCGGCGGCATCGCCCTGTTTGATTATTCTATCGCCCGATTGATACGTTTTGGGCACAAGGGCGTCGGCAAGATTCATTCGTTCATATGGCTGTAATGTCTTTAACATTGGTACGCTTTCGATAAGCGTCTCGTACATCTTTCGTTTTTTGAACGCCGACTTGAGCAAAATGCGTCGGAATGTCTGGCGATCCATCGCCCATAGGGAGCCGTCCGWTTGGGCTTTGATCGTCGCCGCACGAGGCATATTGTACAAAAGGGCCAATTCGCCGAAACTGCCGCTGTTCTCGTACGTATGGATGTGCTTCTGTTCGCCGCCAGGCTCGCCCACGAGGGCATGGAATATGCCACTGAAACAAAAAAAAATTGTAGGCTGTGACTTTGAAACTAAGTTGGCAACAATGATTGATACGAGTATTTTGATTGAAATCTTGATTTGGCAACCATGACTGTCAAATACAAAATGGGGGCGGCGCCTAACCAAAAATTCAGTGTTGCCAATAAACTTGTAGTTACTCGGTTTAATGTAAAATCTCAATAATTGTTTATTAAACGAAACGTAAACATATACTCTTTGTCATATTAATGTACATCAAGTAGGTTGTAGAAGTCTAATTGCATCTATAATTTAAAGGCTGATTTACACAAAAAGTGTCATTAATGTCATTCAGAACAAATTTAATCACATCAATGTTGTTTGCTACCCTATGTTAATTATGTTGTTAATTTTAATTATTTTTTGCTATCTGGGGTTTACATTTATTTAAAAAAATAATTTTTAGGGAAGATTGAGGTTAGGATTCGTTGAATTTTTGCATGGGTGCCACCTTAAAATGATCCCTTTCAGCGACTACTTCGATGACATTACTTTGAAAACGAGTATATGTCACTGAAAAAAAATAATAGTGAGCTGTAATTTTGAAACTAAGTTGGCAACTTTGAATTACATATTACTAATTGTTCTATCAATGACTATGATTTTTGTTAACACGTTGGCAACAAATGTGAAATTTTAACTTGGCAACGATGACTGTGAAATATAAACCTTACAGTTTTATAGGCAATTTTTATTCATTTTTAACCAATAACTCAGTGTTACCAATAGATTTTTAGTTATTCGGTTTAATATGAAAGCTCAATTATTTTTTATTCAACGAAACAAAATTTTTGTTTGCATGAAATGAAAATGAAAAAAAATATTTAAAATAAAAAGTGTATAAATGCCACTCAACAAAAAAACAGTGGGGTGTAATTTTGAAATTAATTTGGCAACCGTGGCTGTCAAATATAAACGTCACAGTTTATAGGCAACTATTATTCATTCTTAAGAAACGGCCACTGATCAATAATTCAGTGTTGCCAATAGACTTTTAATTATTTGGTTTAATCGAGGGTGTAATATAAAAGCTCTATTATTTTTTATTCAATGAAACAGAATTTTTGTTTCAATGAAACGTAAACATATGTCACTGAAAAAAAAAATAGTGGGCTGTGATTTTAAAACTAAGTTGGCAACATTGAATTACATTTTACTAATTCTTCTATCAATGACTATGATTTTTGTCGACACGTTGGTAACAAATGTGAACTTTTAACTTGGCAACCATGACTGTGAAATATAAACCTTACAGTTTTATAGGCAACCAATAATTCAGTGTTGCCAATAAATTTTTAGTTATTCGGTTTAATATAAAAGCTCAATTATTTTTTATTCAACGAAAGAAAATTTTTGTTTGAACAAAACGTATTCAAATGCTACTAAACAAAAAAAAAATTAATTTGGCAACATTGAATTATTAGTACCTAATTCTTTTATCAATGACTGTTGGCAACAAATTTGAAACTAAATTTGGCAACTATAGCACATTTTTATAAGCAACTGTCTAATAATTCAGTGTTACCAATAGATTTTTAGTTATTCCATTTAATATAAAAGGTCAGTTATTTTTTCTTCAACGAAATAGAATCTTTGTTTGAACAAAAGGTACGAAAAAATAGTGGGCTGTGACTTTGAAACTAAGTTGGCAACATTGAATTATTACTACTAGTTTTTCTATCAAAGACTGATTTTTGTCGATACATTTGCAACAAATTTGAAATTTTAATTTGGCAACCATGACTGTTTCCAGTGTTGCCAATAAACTTTAATATAAAAGCTCAATTACTTTTTCTTCAACGATACAAATGCCACTGAAAAAATATAGTGGGCAATAAATTTGAAATCTTAATTTGGCAACCATGACTTTCAAAAATAAACGTCACATTTTTATAAACAACGGGATGGCCCCTGACCAATAATTCAATGTTGCCAATAGACTTTTAGTTACACGGTTTAATAAAAAAGCTCAATTATTTTTTCTTCAACGAAATAGAATTTTTGTTTGAACAAAACGAATACAAACAGGCAGTTTGTTTACTTAACCGGAGCTCACGTAACCCTACACGTGGTATGACATAATTACACGTATGTATACAGTGACACCAKCCTGACCATGTTTCACCACATAAAAGACCCTAGTGACATCGGAAACTTGCGTGTCGGAGACAGAATTGCCGTTAGCGATTATAAATTATGAACGTGGAATACAATGGAACATTTTCATGGTCGTTAAATTGGTATAAAATTAAAGTTAACTCAAATAGGGGCATTTAAAGGTGAACAATGAGTAAACAGTTATCATAATATGACACAATACAGAAAATAATTCAACTGCCTTGTTTAAATTTCTGATCAAGGTGGCCTGTGATTCTGAAATTGGCAGTGTTGGCAACACTGAATCAATGTTGCCAAATTAAGATTGCTTGACGACAAAAATCACAAATTTTTCATGTCGATTTGCCACTTAAGAATATTAATTTTCGATCAAAAAAAWTAATTTCCGCATGTTGTATTACAAGTCTAAATTTAATTTCTTAGGCAAGTGGCCGTACAAACAATCAATCAAGAAAATACCGCTTTGGAAACGCGGTTTATCTCTCAGAAACGTTTCATCGAGTAATGACAGCCGTGTTTTTAACGAAATTTTCTTGAAAGAAGAAAAAAAAACTGCAGACGAAGCTCAATCTCAATCAATAAAAATAAAATTGGCCAATTATTCCAACTCAATTCGAATTGAGGCGAATTTGTTTTCAATGTAATCGAACAATGAGCGTAGTTGAGTTATTTTTTTAAAGTAATTCTTGGACTTTAAACACGATATCTAAATCTAAATCAAACATTCAAGTATTTTCCCTGAACTGCTTGTGCAACGAATAATTTTTTTTGAGTAATTTTTAGCTCAGAAACATTGATCAAATATTTAATAAATAAATGTGACAGTAGATATAAAATATAGAATTTGACAGCTGTTGATAAGCCACCAGTTGTGTTTTATCTTTCAAATCCTAGTTAGACGTATTTTACTATCAAAAATTTTCGATTTATTTTTACACATTTAAATCTTGTTGATCACTCTTTGCCCCCACACGCAATAAATTACATTACTATGCGTTTTTTTTAACCGCCCAATTGACGTAACAAATACCCTTGCTTGTTAAACTTTGTAACTTTTCGTAATTTATACTCTTGAAATATGTAAAAAAAAGCCTTACTTTTGTATAACATAAAAGTTATCACCATCATCTCCTTGTTTGATAACGAGTTCGCCCTCTTTCACGACCCTCTCGAACATCGCATCCAACACTTCCTGCATTTGTTCTTTGTCGAGGGCGCGGAATAATAAAATATTGCGAACTGCTTCCGCCAATCTTTGACGTTGTTCGTCCGATTTCGGAAAGACAACTTTTCCGCCATCGTCTTCGTCCTCTTCCGGATCGTAAGCTTCGGCAAAGACGGACTTGCGACGACCCGAAAATCGGCCCACAGGCGGCTCTGCAACAATCACAAAAATACATTCAAAAACAAGTGGTGATTTTGTTGGCAATTACGATTAAATTGGCAATCTTGAAAAATACAGAGTGGTTATAAATGATTTTCATCTAGCCAGCTTTGCATGTAACTTTATTTATGCCGCTCTACTTTCTTGAAAGCTCTAGTTCTGTCATTAGTGTTACTTATAACTTGATAATAAATTGTTGTTAATCAAACTTTTATTATTTCAACTAATTTCCTATAATAATTGATAATAATGTATACTTTGGAAGAAAACAAGTTCATAATTGAAGTCTATTTTCGAAGTGGACGCTTAGTAAACGACGATTTTTTAATTTTGAGTTAAAACGAGTAGACACCCCTATTTTCGTAAAGCGGCATTTTTTATTTTACATGGAAAATTCACAGTTGGCTAGATGAAAATCATTTATAATCACTTTGTATAAAGACATAAGATAGATACAGGGCTGTCCCAGCGAGTTGAAAAAGCCCATTAGTGACCTTTATGTGGTAAAATTAAAAAAAAATATACAGTATGATGAAAAAAAGGCGCCCGTGTTAACCCACACGTTATAAGTGATCTTTTATTAAAGACGAATTCGAAGACCAAAATTGGATTTGTACTCTTATCAGTAAGATATAGACTTTCCTTTTAAGAAAAGAGAAATCTATATAATTAACAGTTTTAAAATAATTTCATTGTTAAAGTCTAGATTTTGATACAGTTGACGGTGTTCTTAAAAAAAATGTGTAAAAAGTCTATTGAAATAAATTTTATTGAAGAATTTTGGATACCATTTCTTGGCTCCAAAGAAAATTTATCAATGTTGCAACATTGCAAATATCCTAGGATACAGAAAATGTRCAAGTAATATTCAATTATTGGAAACGGTAGCAACAAAAAAATCAATTTTCAATGTTGTTTGTTCTGTGAAATTTGAACGATTAAAGTCAAAAAGGTTTCCTAGATACGAAAAATACCTGAGTGAAATAGTTTTTTAGTAAAAAAAAATTGTGCAATATTGCCGCTTTGTGCTGTTAGACAAACTGTTTAAATTTTAAAAAGAAACTTATTTAGACTATTTTTGCAATGATGGCTACAATGTTTCAATAAAAAAGGACGCGCCTGTTTCAATCGTGGGCGCTTTTTTTTCATCACCCTGTATAGGACATTGATAGATACTAATTTAGTCTATCGCCTAAAATTATTTTCAACTGTATAGCGTGTCTCAAAAAGAAAGTTACAATACAAACTTGTGTTTTTTTAAATGAAACACCATATGTTTCTTAGCGTTTTTGGATGTAGATTTTTATGACTATGTTTTTAAGCTAAACTTTTATTGGTCGATTTTGCTTAGTTTTAAAAATAAGACGGTTTTTTTGACGAAAGCAAGCACTTTTTAAAAATTTATTATAGAAAAAGACATCTAGAAATATTTTTTTACTACCGCAAAGAAGAAGGTACAAGCTATAAGGTTGTAAATTTTTTTTAGTGTGTTGCATTTGCAAAGATAAAAAAATGAAGGCGTCTGTTAAAAGTTTAATAACTTAAAAAAAATAAATATAACACCGTATTTATTGTTTTTGCATTTAAAAGATTATTAAATTGTCTTTCTAAAATTATTTACTTTTAGGTGTTTATAATCAATAACTAGAACTAGAATAGAATAACTAGAAAACATATTTAACGTTAAATATTACAAAAAATAATTACTATTGTTTCAGTAGCCAAAAAGATGAAAGAAATATCACTTAAAAATCACATTTGTGTTAAACTGAACCCATTATTCTTTATTTTTACAATAAAATAATGTAATTTGTAATTACCTATACATGTTTTTTTATTTTACCATTGAATGAACTTTCTCAACTCGCTGAGACACTGTATGTGGGTTTAATTATGACAAAAAATCGATTGGCAACACTGAATTATTAATGAAATGTCAATTAACTTCATAGTCAATGTTGCCAACTTAACATCAAAGTCACAGCCCACTGTAAACAAAAATTTAATTGAAATTAAGACATTTGCAAATTAGAGTGTGGGAAACCGGAAAACTATTAGTTTCACTGCAATAATTATTCTATTACTTAAATAAATATGAATTGAATTAAAAATTTAGAGACCCACTTTATTTCACAGAAAAAACGATAATTCTAAACGTTGTCTACTTTCTTATTACGCCAATCAATTTTCCAACCGACCCACATCTTAATTTGTGGGTGTAAATGTCCCGATTTATCATTCAAGTCGATAAAAATGGAAAAAATCGATTACATTCCCATTCGTTCATAAAATCGAGGCCATTCATTGAGAAAAAGACACATTTACCATTTGTGCACACACATTTTAAAATAGAAACTAGACCATTTTAGAGATTTATCTCGCCTTGAAAGAGTGTTTAATTATAAATATTTGTACTAGCGAATGTATACATCAGTCAAACTCCTTTAACACTAGTTTACACGTTTCATGTCCCTATTTGCTAAACGATCCGGTTTAGAAAGTCAACTATTATGAAATGACAAATCCAACTCAATTAGTGACTATCATTATTAGAAAAGTGTGTTAAAAGATGGATTTTTTTTCGGGTTAAGTTCAAAATTGACGTACTGTATATACTCGTTAACCTTGAACGTGTATCGAAAACGTACAGGTGGTTTATTTAACCTGAAAATTTAATAACGGCCCACCAGTGACATGAGTAAATATTTTTTTTATTATGATGAAGGTACACGTATTTCCTTGTATTTTTTCATAAATAGAAACACGTTTGTAATGTTGAAACCGATTTGACATAAGAGTATCAATTTACTCTTCAAAAACAATTATTGTAATTTTGTTTGAGACAAACATAAAAGATTTGATTTGCTTAAATATTTAATGTGTCATTACGACATCTACTGTTTTAATAACGTAAATATAACAAGTTAAATATTTGTTTGTTTAGTAAATAAGCGTGAAAAATAAATGAACACATCCTGAAATTTCCGTCAATCGATTATTTACAAACATCAAAACAAAGTTTTATAATCAAAAATTAAAAGATCATTACACTTGTATGTAAATACAGGGTGCGTCAGAACTCACTCTCCAGAGAAAAATACCATGTAAGGTATCTACAAAAATTTCGAAGTTATGAGAGTTTAAATTTTGCACTTTGACTCAATTATTTCTGTTGGAAAAATAATTTTCCAAGTTTTTTTTGCTACAGGCTATTAGAAGAGGAAACAAGGAAGCTCTCTCCTAAATTGTAACTCTGTTTAATGTCGTTTGTAGTTTTTATTGACAAAATTTTTGTACTCATCAGTATCATTAAATGCACATAAAAAAATTCAAATGTCAAAAAATAAATGTCAAAATTTTTTGACCGAGTTTTTTAAACATTTTTTTCCATGGTCCTGGTATCTTATCTTACTTGAAATTTTTCTCTGGGGCGCAAGTTATGACACACTTTGTGTATAAACAACTCGTTTATTAATCGAAGATGGAAATATTAAAATTAGACAATAGTGTGGGTTAATTAAAATAATCAAAACATCAATGGATTTTGATTTTTTAAGAGTAATAAATTTTCATGTTCATTTCTACCAAGCATTCAATGAAATTTCTTATCAAAGTGACCTGTGACTTTGAAATTAAGTTGGCAACAATGAATAATAGATTGAAGTGAATGTAAAAAACTGTGGTTGTTAAGTAGGACCTAAAGTCTTAATTTGGCAACACTGACTGTCAAATTTAAACGTCACAATTTTATAAGAATGTAGTCAATTTTGACTTTTTTTAATAAATAAATAAATTTAGTAGGAATAAAAAATGTTTAGTATGTAACTCTTAATAGTTATTTTATTATAGATAAAAGTCAGCTCAAATTTTATCTTTTTGAATAATGACGGACTTTSTCTACTCATATTTTTTAAATACTTAAAATTTTTTCTACATTTTATATTGAATTTTATGAATTACCCAAACCAAAAATTATGATCTGGCTTTTTGGTATTCATGATCTTATTATTTTTTTTTATGAGTTTAACAACTTCAATATTTTCATACAGTGATAATTCTACAATTTTTCATTACCGAAAAAATTCAAAAATTTCAGAAACTAAAAAACTCATCTGAAAAGTGATTTCTTTGGGATTTAATTTTGAAATTAAGTTGGCAACAAATGACTGTAAACGATTGTGATTATTGCCAAGTAGGCCATGAAATCTTAATTTGGCAACATTGTCTGTCAAATTCAAACGTCACAAATTTATAAGTTGTACATACTCAATTTGGACTTTTTTTAATAATAAAAAAATAATAAAACAACACCAAATAACACAATTATTTAGTAGGAATAGAAAAAGTGTAATATATAACTCATAAGATTGGATGGATACGACTCAGCTCAAATTTTACCTTTTTGAATAATTTGGCGAATTTTCTCTATACTTATTGTAAAATTTTTGCTACTTATTATATTGAATTATCGAAATAAAAATCTGTTTTTTTTTCTTATTCATGATCTTACTTTCTTGCTTTTAACAAACCGATAAATCTGCGACTTTTCATTAATAATTTTTTTTTTTAATTGTCAGAAGTTAAAAGACATTTAAATATCTTTTTCTTTGTAATTAAGCTGGTAACAAAAAATAATGTAGAGATAACTGTAAATGAGTGTAATTATTGTCAAGTAGGCTACGAAATCTTAATTTGGCAACACTGACTGTCAAATTCAAATGTCACAATTTTACAAGTAGTCAAATTTTGACTTTTTTAATAAATAAGATTTATGAAACAATACCAAACAACACAATTATTTAATAGGAACAGAAAAAGTTTAGTAATATTGCATCGATTCAGCTCGAATTTTATCTTCTTGATTAATGTCAATTTTTTTTTATTTTCAAGATACTTATTGTAAGAATTTTAAAAACAAATTTAATTTAACACTGTATCGTGACTCATCATTCACATAGATAATTGTTTCTGTGACGTAGACAATAACAAGTGACATATATTACAACTTCAGACACCACTAATCACAACATCTATAAAAAAAATTAGTTTTTCCCATTTCCTTGGGGGTTAAAAAAGACGAACATCAGAACTTCCCCCTTATACGATCACATCTCTGTCATTAATCCCAAAGGAGAAAAGCAAATCGGAGGAGGGAAAAAAAGGCAAGCATTATTATACAAAAAAACTCTTTCAATCAACTTTTTTTTACAAAGGCCATCCAGAACCCAATTTTTCATATCTTAAAATGACGATTTTAAAGTTTTTTGATTAGTTGCAAATTTCTCCCTTCAAATATTTACAACTTTATTAATTATAAAACGCACTGAAGTTATAAATAACTGTTTTCTCGTACTCAGATTATTTTTATTGAAATGGGGATCAAATAACACCTTCGTAGGTGTTATTTCAGTTTGCACTTTGTTGCATCTCACTCCCTCTCCTCCTGGCCCCAATTTCCCTCCCGTTTTATTTTATTCGCTGCATGTTTTCCGAAGAGACTTAATTAATTCCGCAGCTGTTTACATTCTATCACAGCGAATAGAACAAAACGAAAATATGTGTCACACCCCACGCATTAGTAAAAAATAGAGTAAAATTTTGGTACCTTCATCTGGTTCCTCGATAAAATCGGCCGATGTCATCATATTGGCTAAAAGTGTTTCTGCGTCACCGCCTTCGATTCTTTGTCCTAATAAACGCATTTTCCGATTGCATCCGAAATTGCACACGAAATTCGTAAAGTTTTCGCACTTTTTTTTATATTCCAACAACGAACGTCAAATACGATGACGCGAGAGGAAATCATGACATTTCAAGTAACTGAGAGACGATGTTCCATCATCACCGTGGTTACATAACTTTCTTTTTATATTAGATTTGTGGATAATTTCCACTGGAAAATGCTTATTTTCTTCTTTAATGGCATTTTCGGGGGCAAATTTTGGGTCGCGTGACCGATAATTTGGTTTATAAATGAGTTGGTTATTATATCCACGTAATCGTGGCATAGAATCCCCAGTTTGAAAAAAAAATTAATCCGTTTTATCGATATTACGTGAATTTTTAGACTCAAACAGTAACTCAAGACTGCGGTAATTTAACACGATTAGCACCTTTTACACCTTGTGATATTTACCAGTTAAAAATAGCACAAAACTGTTTATTTTATAAATAAATACAAATATTAAAATTTTCAGTTTCCCCAATAAAAAAATTCATTCGTTTTCTCCACAAGTTTGCGATAATTAGGAGAAATTACGTCTCTTTTCTTACAATTTAGTAAAAAAATATTAAACAACAAGTTTCACAAACCACACTTTAGGCATATTTCAAAATAAGAAACAAATATAAAAAAATAAAACCGTTTAACACCCTGTAATAGAAATTACATCAAACGACACAATAAAGTCTACTTTACTCATAAGCAAAGTTTTATTTTTCTATTGTTATGTCTATTTTCTAAATTTTACAAAAATGTCAATAACTTGGCAACGCCGCAACCAAAACCTTAAAATAAGTAAGACAAATGACAATCTGGAAAAAAGATGTAGTTTGCATTAAAGAAAAAGTCCTGGAATAATGGAATTTTTTATAAAATTTTTTACTTAAAACTATTTACTTCTTCTGAAAGACCATTTATTTTTAATCTCTAATTATATTTATGCAAAATTTTTAAGTTATTTAACTTTTAAGGTTAAAGAGAAACAGGTTTTAGTTTGTTTCTAAACCGGCAGATGGCGCGACATTTATATTTCTATTTTCCTCTTACTTATTCACATTATTTAAAATTAGAAAAGTAGAAAATTCGCCAACATAGCACTTTTTACTTTTTGAATTTTTTTCAAAAAAAAAATTAGAAACCGTTATAAGGGAAAATATTTTTGAAAAAACAAGGTAAAGCGACTTTTTCTTCAAACTTGTAGTAAACAAATATTTTTATTATCACTTGGTTTTTTTACTAATAAAAAAAAATATTAGAAGAACTGCAATATCAAAAAATTAAAAAATATAAGATGTCTCTTAAAAACAATCTTTTTTTATTTGGAAAGACTTTAAAACTGCTCCGAATACTTGAAAATAATTTCAGGTGATGAAATATTTKAAGGTCGATAATACACTTTACCAATTACCTGGAACACACAGTATAATCACGTAAAAATTACAAGTGTCCCTCAGATTTGAGAAAAAAAACTTGAATCACTCTGTATAAACAWAATAAGAGAATGAATAAAAAACAATGTGTGAGTAATTAACTAATTAACTGCAAATAGAATACAATACACAGTAATCATAAAATTTTCGTCTCAACTGTTCATTTACAACACAAAACAAACAATTCTTTTTCTAATTACCACTAATTTCTTCATTAAAGAGGTTAACAAGTTAATTGAAAAAAGTACAGTTTTATTGCCAAAAAAATTAAACAACTTCTCTATTTTAACAAAGTTTCAATTTTCACATGATGTTTAAAACGGATTCAGTTCGTTTATTTGCTTAATATATGGTTTAAAAACTTTTCATGCATTAAATCCTTTAAATGAGAAAAATAAAAGTTCTTAAAATTAATAARAGAGTGGTTCAAAATTTGCGTCAAAAGAAAAAAGTCAAGTAAGATAAGATACCAGGAACGTGGAAAAAATGTTAAAAATATGTCATATATGAGAATTTCGAAATTATGGGGGTTTCAATTTTGCACTTTTGTTACTGCAGTTCAAATTAATACTAAGAAATTTTTATTAGTGAAAATTGAAAAAAAAAAAAACAGGAAAAAAGTTATGTTTTATTCTTAATTAAGAGTGTGCAATATGTTGCTTWATCCTAATTCATTGATAAACCGAAACCGAAATCGTAAAATAAAAAATGGTTTTACTGCATTTAGTAAAATAAACCACAATCTGGAAAAAAATCTGTACGTTGRCATTTGAAAAAATAAAAAAATACAATAATACCTTTTATACAGGGTGAACAATTTCTTTATCGTCTTGTATAATAAATAACAATTTTTTTGTCAAAACTGCAATTTATGTATTTTTTTATTTTTTTTTTTAATTAAATATTCTCTAGAACACAAAAAGAAAAGAAAATTTTGAAAAATTTTAAACACTTTTTTGTACTTTATCATTCATCAATTAGTTTTTCCAAAAAATAAATAGTTTAAACAAAAAACGTTTAGTTCCATACTTATTCACCTGGTATGTATGTATATATTTTTTTAATTTGCATTTACTTAGAAGTTTATATTTTTCAAAAAATATTTAATCTGTAATTACATTAATCCAGAATCGAAAATTTGAGTTCTCAATTTAAAATTTGTAAGTTATTTAGTTTTTGGKAAACTTCTGCAAATTTGTGGTAAAAAAATTATTTTTTACTATTGTTAGTTTTTCACTATTAAAAGTGTGTTTTCATCAAAAAAAATACAGGGTGTTTCTTAAAAACACAAGAATGAGACGAATAAAGGAATAAAGGTTGAAAAATTGATAATAMTTATTTCGCCACCTTACTTTTACACGTGATTCGTGCGAAAATGTAGCAAYACGCGAAAAAAAGTTCAAAGTAACAGTAAGAAATCTTTATTAGTAAAAATAAAACAAAAACCAAGATAGGGAAAAAGTTATCTGTTTTATTCTTAATTAAGAGCCAAACATAAGCCAACACTTTTGCACCATAATCCTAATTCATTGCTAATCCATTCTTAATTACGCTACAAATTCGCACGAACTCACTGCCGAACCTGAAAGAAAAGCAAGATGGAGAAACTTTTTTCCCAAAAAAAAAAAACCGTCAAAATTCACAAAACTGCAAAAACTGACCTTCTTCTCTCGACAACGTGGACTCATCTGGCGACGATGCTGTGGTTCCTGCTTGGTCGAAGACGATCTGAGTGGTCCGAGTTTCCCTCAAACGGCTGAAATAATCCGCTGCGTAGTTGACGACGTCTCCGGGCTGCTCCAGCAGGTAGCTTATGGTGAATTCGAGAAGGACCTCGCGAAGATCATCTGGGACTTGGATGCGGCCTTGGCTTCGACTCATATCTCAAACGGCGATAACGCAACGACGTGTGGATCTGTTTGAAAGAAAAAAAACAACCAAATTGTGAAAATTCGAAGGCGGGAAACTAGTCCGGTCAAAATAGACATTTCAAATAACGAAAATTCCGACAGAGCCAAATTTTGGTGGAGATCTTGGGTACACCATTAGGAATAGTGTCAAAAAAAGTGTGCTAAAAAAGTTATTTGGAGTCAAAGGTCAAAATTTGACGTTTTATAGATTTTTTTTTCGAAAACGGTAAGTTTTATCAAAAAAGTAGCCCAGACAAAAATTATAGATCTTAAAATTATCTACAAAAATGGTCTTTATACTTTTTTTTCTAAGAATCACCATTCCTGAGATATCGCGATTCTAAAAGCTGAAGGAGTCACGTTCTACATGATATGCACATACAGAGTGCGCCAGAACTCGCGCCCCAAAGAAAAATGCTATGTAGGGTAAGATACCAGGAATATGGAAAAAATAAAAAAAAAATCTATCTATAAAAATTTCGAAGTTATGAAAGTTTAAATTTTGCACTTCTAGAAGAGGAAACAAGGAAGCTGTATCCTAAACTGTAACTCTTTAATCTTATTTGTGGCTTTTATTGGCAAAAGTTTTGTACCTTTACTAAATAATTGTAAAAAAAACATATACAAAATCATCAGTATCATTAAATAGACATACAAAATGTCAAATGTCAAAAAATAAATGTCAAAATTTTAATTTTTTGACAGATAGAATTTTTTAAACATTTTTCCATGTTCCTCTTATCTTATCTTACTTGAAATTTTTCTTCTACTTCATTAAACTTAAATATAAATAAATATCTCGATCCCATTAGATTTAAAAGGAATTTATTTAATAATACATACAGGGTTGTTCAAAAAATCGCGCATTTTCTTGAAAGGGAGTAATTGGGTAGTCCCCAGAGTACTGAAAAAATGTTTAAAAAATTCTGTGTCAAAAAATTTGACATTTATTTTTTGACATTTGACATTGTATATGTTTTTTTATACAATTTTTTAGTAAACGTACCAAAGCGACAAATAACATTGAACAGAGTTACAATTTAGGATAGAGCTTTCTTGTTTCGTCTTATAATAGCCTATAGCAAAAAAAATTGGAAAATTATTTTTGCAACAGAAATAAATAAGAGTCAAAGTGCAAAATTTAAACTCTCATAACTTTGAAATTTTTATAGATAGAATTTTTTTAAATTTTTTCTTTGTTCCTGGTACCCAACATGGCATTTGTCTTTGGGGCGCGAGTTCTGGCGCACTATGTATGTGCATATGATGTAGAACGTTGCTCCTTCAACTTTTAAAATCGCGATATCTCAGTAATGGTGATTCTTAGAAAAAAAGTATACAGACCATTTTTGTAGATAATCTTAAGATCTATAATTTTAGTCTGGGCTACTTTTTTGATAAAACTTACCGTTTTCGAAAAAAATCTAAAAAAACTCAAATTTTGACCTTTGACCACGAATAACTTTTTTAGCACACATGGCATCGATGGGGACTTTTGACACTTTATTTCTAATGGTGTACCCAAGGTCTCCACCAAAATTTAGCTCTGTCGGAATTTTCGTTATTTGACCACTATTTTTATGACTAATTTGACCGAACTAAACGTGGCAGTGTTACCAATTTGGAGTTTTTCGGGGTTGTGGCTGGGGGTGGGTTACAGGACGTGGATGGATCATTCAAGAGCGAAACTTGAGGATGAAGACACGGGAAATTTTTCAGACAAGAGGCCACAAGAGGTGAAATGTGAACAACACAGAAAACTGTCACTATTTACGCTTGTCATCGATGTGACATTTGCCGGAGGGATTCGACGAGAAGTGCGCCAAAAATTCAGTTTTTCAAATTTTAATAAACTGGATTTAATGCCAAGTCAAGCGGCTTTAAAATTTTGTACAGTTAAATGATATAATCAATAAAGTGGTGCTTTCAGTTTCAAATTCGCATTTATTTACCCCATTCCCCATTTTTCCCAATAAAATCTACGTAATTTGACGTGCAGAGACTCTACACACTTTTTTTTTAATTTCTAATAATCATTGAAATGATGATATTTTTCAAATAGCTACAAATGGAAATGTTTCATTAAGAATGTAGCGCAAAGCTATAAAACTAAAACCCCTAGAGGCCATGAAAAAGAACTCTGTTAGAATGGCTTTTGGTTATTGTGGCAACTAATCCATGCCACACCGAACCATTTTTCATTCTACTCAACAAGTTTTACAGCTAGACGATAAATTCTTATTTGGTCGCCCCCAGGTTTTTAAATCAAACATTGCAAAGTAAAAATTTGTTAGGATATTAAAAAAGTTAAAACAAAAGAATTTTATCCCAAACCAACTATTTTGCTATTGTATAAGTTATAAAACATGAAAAAAGAAAAAATACGAATTCTTAATACCAAAACGTAAAAGAAAGTTTTTAAAAATTTAATTATCAAAAATTCACTGAAAATGCTAGAAGTTGTAGTCAAAAATAGTATATTATGTTATTAGGAATAAAAGCGATAGTTTATGTGACGAAGCTGAACGCCATAAAACTCACTATTACTATCCATTATTACTATATTCATGTCGAAAGTAAAGAGCAAGTAAATGAACAAAATATTCAGGACGCTTTGCAAGTAATGAAATCATAACAACACTTACAAACAAAAGTGTTTATTAATTTAACAAATGCAGTTAGTAGTGCAAAATGTCGAATACTGATGATTTACAATTTACAAGGGACAAAAAAAGAACACATTGCTAAATGTCATAGTAAAAGTAAAAACTCTTAGGCGCAAAAATAACCTGAAAGGTAAAACTTTTACTTGTGACACTTACTTCATAAAAAAGGTCACTTTTTTGACGTTTTGTAGATATATTTTTTTCCAGAATAAAATAAGAAGAATCCAAAATTTGGTACTGGTATAATAAGGCAATGTCAGTTTTACATCGTAATGACACTCGTATGGGTCAAAAAAGTATTATTCGATTTAGGAATGATTTCAGAAAAAAAAGTTTTATTAATCTTAAAACATTTCTTCCCAAGTATGTTTCACACCGATCAAAAATTACATATGAGTCAGAAAAGTACAGCTTTACGGCCTATTTCATTAATTTTACGAAAGAATTCAAAAAAAAATCTTTTATTAATTTTAAAATATTTCCCAGGGCTGTTTTACATCAACCAAAAATAACATACGAGTACATATGAGTAAGAAAAGTACTGTTTTACGGACTACATATTTCATTCACAGTACGGATGATTTCAGAAAAAGAAATTTTATTAATCTTAAAACATTTCTTCCCAAGTATGTTTCACACCGGTCAAAAATGATATATGAGTCAGAAAAATACAGCTTTACGGCATATTTCATTTATTTTACGGACGAATTCAGAAAAAAATCTTTTATTAATTTTAAAACTTCCCAGGGCTGTTTTACATCAATCAAAAATAACATACGAGTAATGACATATGAGTCAGAAAAGTACTGTTTTACGGACTACATATTTCATTCACAGTACGGATGATTTCAGAAAAAAAATGTTTTATTAACCTTAAAACATTTACTAAGTCTGTTTTACACCGTTGAAAAATGACATATGAGTCAGAAAAGTACAAAAGTACATCTTTACGGCCTATTACTTATTTTACAAACGATTTCAGAAAAAAATGTTTTATTAATTTTAAAACCTTTCCAGGCCTGTTTCACTTCGATCAAAAATGACATATGAGTCAGAAAAGTACTGTTTTATGAACTATTTCATTCACATTACGGATGAATTCAAAAAAAAAATGTTTTATTAATCTTTTAAAACATTTCCTAAGACTGTTTCTGACCGATCAAAAATGACATAAGAGTCAGAAAAGTACTGTTTTACGGACTACATATTTCATTCACAGTACAGATGATTTCAGAAAAAAAATGTTTTATTAATCTTAAAACATTTACTAAGTCTGTTTTACACCGTTCAAAAATGACATATGAGTCAGAAAAGTACAGCTTTACAGCCTTTTTCATTTATTTTACGGACGATTTCAGAAAAAAATGTTTTATTAATTTTAAAACATTTACTAAGTCTGTTTCCACACCGATCAAAAATGACATATGAGTCAGAAAAGTACTTTTATGAACTATTTCATTCACATTACGGATGAATAAAAAAGTATGTTTCTGGCGGATCAAAAATGACATATAAGTCAGAAAAGTACATCTTTACGGCCTATTACTTATTTTACAAACGATTTCAGAAAAAAATGTTTTATTAATTTTAAAACATTTACTAAGTCTTTCCACACCGATCAAAAATGACATATGAGTCAGAAAAGTACTGTTTTATGAACTATTTCATTCACATTACAGATGAATTAAAAAAAAAAATGTTTTATTAATCTTTTAAAACATTTCCTAAGTATGTTTTTGACCGATCAAAAATGACATATGAGTCAGAAAAGTACATCTTTACGGCATATTACTTATTTTACAAACGATTTCAGAAAAAAAATGTTTTATTAATTTTAAAACATTTCCAGGTCTGTTTCACTTCGATCAAAAATCGGTGATTGACACCTGTCAAAAACCGTGCAACTAAAATGTTAAAACGCAAATGCGAAACGCGTTCGGATTTACACCGACCGAAAAAAGGGTTAATCGTATCCCTGACCTAGTTCATGCGATTATCGAACTTTTTTTGCGATGAACTTGTCTAATATGACGTAAGGAAGATTATCAAGTCGTGAAATATGAACGATGTTGTTCCTCAAGGTCGTTTACGTTTATTTTAATTAAGTATTATTGTAGTTGTGTCAACAAGATAAATCGAATTAATGGTGTCTTTTTTTTGGTGTATCGAAAGGAAACTGTCTTCGGTGGAAAATGTGATATGTGACAGTATTGACAGTTTAAAAGCATCACGTGTGTAAAAATGGGATTCGAATTTATTTTTTATGATTTCAAGTAATAAATAAATAATAGTAGTAGACAAAATTCAATTTTGAATAATGGGATTATAAATAAAGCAAA